TTGGCAGTATCATCCCTTAGCAGAGACTGCGGAACTCCCCGCCACAAGAGCCCCTGAAGTTAGGATAGGGGTAGTTTTGCTGGCTGGGGAACGCTTGGAAGTCCAAGCCCTCTTCAAGCTGCCAAGCTCAAGAGAGACTGCGGATCTTTGGCAGTATCATCCCTTAGCAGAGACTGCGGAACTCCCCGCCACAAGAGCCCGGGCAAATCTTAGTTTGGAGGCTTTGCTGGCTGGGGGAACGCTTGGAAGTTGAACTCCAAGCCCTCTTCAAGCTGTCACGCTGGAGAGACACCACAATGGACCCTTGGTAGCTTCATCCTTAGCAGGGACTGCGGGACTCCCCGCCACAAGAGCGCAGGAGCCTTTGATCTGGACCATCAGCGGGACAAACGCGCTCAAGAGGCGCCCGGGGCCTCTCCAGGGGCGCCTGGCCAGGAGATCGGGGGTCTGTTTAAGAGGAAGCCCCTCCCATAGAGTCGGCTGCCTCAGGTAGACTCTGCCTGGCGTTGGAGGCTCTGCTCAGCTGTGAGGAGAGCGGGGGCTCGGCGAGAGGCCTGCCTTGCAGGGCTGTTGGGGAGAGGGGACCAGCCTCCCTCCTCCTCCTCCTCCCGCCCTCCCCGCGCAGCTTCCCCGCCGGCGACTCACCTCATCGGCGCCGGGCTCCAGCGGCGCCCCCACCACCTCCACTTCCACCACCGCCATCTTGCCCCCCCCCCTCACCGCCAACTCGCTTCCGCCGGCGCCCACCAATCGCCGCCCTCGGATCCCACTCGCCCAATCGGCGCCTGCGGAGGGCGGGCGGCTGTCATCGGGCGTCAGGGAGCGTCGAACAAGTGCCGCGTTTCCCCTCGGACGAAACCACGGGAAAGCCAACGGGAGGGTGAAGGGGGGGGTCGCTGAGGGGCCCGTCCGAGGGTCTCTGCCTGGAGACGATGGTGCAGCTCTGGGGATCCGGGCTCGGAAGGAAACGGCGCGTCCTCGGCGCCGCTTCCAGGGAAGAGCAATTGACAGACGCTCCCCGGGGTGAGTAGCGAGAACTACGCCTCCCGGCATTCCCGGCGGCCACGACCGGGGCGGAGCTATTGGCCGAGGGGGCCGGCTGGAGGCGGATGACGTCAGAGAGCGAGCGGTGCGTCGGCCAATCCGGAGCGAGGCGGAAAGTCAAGCCGGAGGTTGGCGGGAAAAGCGAAGCCGCGTCGTCCGGGGCTGATGGGCCTTGTAGTCCAGGCGATGGCGCCGCTGAGGATCCGCTGCGTCGTCTCCTTCTCCTCGCAAGTGAGGCGGCCTCGGGGGCCTCCGGGGACGGGGAGGGCTCGGACGGGTCGTGGGGATGCGGCCGCGCCCGACACGTGTCTTCTCCTGGGACCGGCTGAGGCGCATGGGGGCCCCGGGCGAGGGTTCCCGAGATCCCCCCGGCCTCCCTCCGGGGTCCGCCTCGCCCTTTGCTGGGGGTGGGATGGGTGTTCAATGAATGGTCGTAAAACGAGGACTGCCCCTAATAGAGAAATAACTGAAATCAGCTGGCGGGGTTTTTGTGGTTTGTGGGCCACGCAACATGGGCTTTGTAGTTCAGGCAGTCCTTACGCTCTTATTCCTTCGTGTATACAGGTAGTCCTCGACTTACGACCACCAATGATTGCTAAATCAGAGGTTAATTTTGCTCCATTTTAGGACCTTTCCCCCTGCAACACTGCCCTGGTTAGGTTAGTAGCCCCGTCGCTAACTGAATCTGGCTCCCCCCACTGGCTTTGCTGGCGAGACCGTCGCCAAAGGTGATGACATGGACTTGGGACACATGGACCGTCATAAGTACGAGTCAGCGGCCAAGCCTCCAAATTTTGATCACGTGACCATGGGGATGCTTGCAATGGTCATAAAGGGTGAAGAACGGTCATAAGTCACTTCTTTCACTGCCGTTGTAACTTTGTGGTCATTAAGCAAGCCGAGGTGGCGCAGTGGTTAAATGCAGCACTGCAGGCTACTTCAGCTGACTGCAGTT